TAGATGCAACTTATCTGCAAGAGTATTAGTTCCGTCCATCAGACTTGATAGCTGGGTAAAGGACCATTACTGAAATAAGTCTGTGCTGGTGTGATGGCCACAGCAACACAGAATGAAACAAAAACACTACACCTCACCTCCAGTAGTTTAGCTTCAGTTAAACTGCAGTAAACCTCAACAACAATTAACACCAGACATTTAGATGTATTTGATTTGCTTATAACCTGACATTATTTAGTTTATTTCACACATTTTAGCACAGCTGACACAAGTATTTGCTTGTATTAATTACTTATTACTTTCTTTTTCCATGGTCATTGGGGGAGCTTACTTCCTGGTTCAGCAAAAGGTGTGGTTGGGGACTGAGGACTCATAAATACTTCCATGTCAAGGGGGGGGTTGGTTTGGCCAAGCCACTGTATATTTTCATTGTTTTGTCATTCTGTTATCTTGTGCACCTCACCATCCCATTTTCAGTTGTTCTATATATATATACATGAGTTAAACAACCAAAAAGAAACTAAACTATTATTATTGCTAACATAATATGGAACAATTAAGCCATATGGGGGGAAATTGTTGGTTTTACAGGGGCCTAAAACTGACAGAATTAAGACCTGATCCTGAACCAAAGACCACCTGAGGCTATATTTGAGCTTAAAACTCTATAACCTAGTACAACATATTTGGAGTCAACAACAAAAGGACCTGAATAAATGCAGCAAATAAAAAAAAGTGTATTTTTTATAATGCCAACCATTTTTTCCCTCAACAAATATGGTGCCTACATTACCCACAATGCAGTCAGACTTTTTAAGTGCATAACAAATAACCAGATCCGAAACCATAGCCTGACACAGAAACCGAGCAAACTGGGAGAAAAATAATGAACTGAATCAAGCTGGTACTGTGACAGAAAATCAAAGCTTGATGAAACCAATATTTCCTGTCAGCGTTCACCTTTGTGGATATCAGGGTGAATCCTCCTCATTAGCAAACAGTGTGAAACAAGTCCTTAGTTCTTGAAGGTGATAAAGACAAAGAGATATCACCTGAAATGTCACAGAGCTGTTGATTCATAACTATCACAGTTAATGACGTATCGGTTTAATGAAAATGAGAGCATTTCCTGTTACTCGTAAGGTCATGGTTATGAAGATGGGCATGTGGGAAACAGTTCATCAGGTTGCCAGGAAACCAGAAAATAATGAGTCAGTGGTGTCAATCATACTATCCCCAATCTATTTTACCAGTGGGGCCCTCATTTCCGTTATTTCTCCACTGCCATCACTGTAATATCCTGTGTGATTTACCGTGAGGTGAATGGCTCACTCGATGGTGCCACAGCGCAGGAAGTCATAGCAGAAATGAAAGAAGCGCCGCTGCAGGAGCAGGGAAGAACTGGAGGAGATATTTATAGCTGCTCCGCTCACAGCGCTGTCTTTAAGATGCTCCTTTTTATTCCAACCAACCCTCGTTCTCGCTTTCACATTCTCTCTTTCTCCCTCACTGTCAGCTTTCATATCCACACTTCTGCCATTGTTATATATATCTCTCATACATAGAAAAGGAAGCTTGGTGGTGCACACACGCAAAGGATGAAGCCCTGAGAAAGAGAATAGTTATTCCTAATTGTTCTACAACGCAGTTGGATCTGTACTACCACAATATAGGCACACAGTGTAATTATAAACCTTATGTTGGTACATTTCACAACACAAATGATACTAGTTTTCTTAATTGAATGGTCCAAAAGTTATAGGGCATAATGATGGGTTTCTTTTCATTGAGTAAAAGATGAGAAAATACTACATACTGGTCTTTATTTGTGGGTTCATTTTAAGATTCCTATGGTAAATAGTAACACACCATGGTTCTTCTCTAGTGCACACAAAACCCACACAGATGTGGAAGGAAGTGTCAGAGTTTCAATTAAAGCTATTAAATGTCATATTAAAGTGAAGACTTTACATTGTTCTCCTTGGTAATCACCTCACCTAATGCATCATATTTACCTTGTGACCATTGTTGGGGTACTGACTCTCAACTTGGGATCCATTATATAACATGTACAACCTGCTAAACCAATCGATAAAAAAAACGAGGAGACACGTGTTAAAGAAAAAAATATTTCAATATTTATTTGCGGTATAAACATGTCTTGAGTTGTTTCCATATACTGTACATTACATAGGGTCAATTGTACTTCCTTCAGTAGACAGAAAGGTGAAACTGCCCCGATCAACATGCCCCTTTGTTTTAAAACACAGACAGATTGCATCTATTTTAAAAACTGTTTACAGCACAATACAAAACAGCTTGTGTTTGAAGCTGTAACACGTTGCAAGATGCATTGTCAAAAAAATCCCTGAAAAATTCCTCACTGAGGTAACGTTTTTTATTTCATTCACTTCTTCTTTCACTTTGTATTTAGCGCCGCCACTTCTCTTCCTCTATCGCTCACTCTCGTCTTTCCCTCCCAATCACATTCTTACTGAGATGTAGCTACAAGTTTAAGGACACAGAAACGGCCGTTCCTGTGATCTGGCAAATTTACAAACGGAGAAAAGACTTGATTTCTCTTTCATTGTTACAAAGACACAAAGAAAAAACAGAAGAAAGCAGCTTGAAATCAACCATTTTAAATAGAAAAGCTCCGTACTGAAATATATTTCAAACCTAGGGTGTAAGGGATCAAGTCGTGTTTCTTATTGTAAATGGGAAATGACTTCAGGCGAGGGGAGGCCATTCAAGCATGGTAGTCTTGTTTTTATCTCTTACGCTATCATAGGACAGGAACTTTTGCATATAAATTCATAACATATATATACTTAGATATATATTCATATTTAAAGGCCACAGGAATAGCATGGAGCACTTATCAAAAACAAGATGGAAAAAGACCTTGTAAATACTGTATGTGTTGTAATTGTCTATTGTGAAACTTAACTGCCATGCTGAACCACAGCTCTGGCTGTGTAAAGCATCGCTCGTGTGTGTGTGTGTGTTAGCGAGGGCCTCTTTAAGGTTGGGAATGGGCACGTGGGCCCAACATTTTGGACACCCCAGGTGAAATGTAACTTCAATCCACAAGCCATATAGAGCTGGATCTTGTATAATAGAATAGATATAGTACAAAAGAAGAAGATTTAAAAAATGTTGCGGTTTTGGATCTACAAAATACTGCAAACAGTTGTTTTGATATATTGCAGAGTAATAAACCTTGTGTGACCCGTTCTGGTAAAAAAAGACAGCTCTCTGTCTTTTTTACTATGTTCTGATTTGAATAATAGATAAACAAACGTTTCATTTTTCTTTGTACACAATGTTTTTCTAAACTGAGATACAAAGTCATTAACAGTCAGCATTAGAAACAAGTTAGAAAGATTATATAAGGCCAGCTCAAACCAACCCTGTTCAGATTCAACTGCTGTCCCCTCTGTAACCCAGTTCTTTGTCTCAGTTTAGAGCCCGTCCACATCCTCGCTCTTTAACCAAACCTGTAGTTTGCTATAACTGTGGGCGCTATGCAAGAAATTGTTACATTCTCCTTTTAGTTTTATTAGCTATGTTTCAACCAACTACATGTCTGTCTCAGACCAACAGACCAGAGGAGGACCTTTAGTTGAATGAAACTTCCTCAAAACTAAAAGAAGCTGTGATGACAGTATCATGATGTTTTTTAGCATCTGATTTCATATCTAATTGTTCCTGCTTTATTTCTGTCACAATAGACCACAAAGACAACCGTGTCCTATTTCAATTTTTTCCCAAATGCATTTACAGTATAAGACTACTGTTACTGCTTAGTCTAATGTAATGTGTTACGTTGATTATTTTTGTGAATAAAACGTTCCCATAAAAAGCAAACTAGGTTGCCTTATAAAGCAATTTTTAAACCTATACTCTATGGAATGATTTAGGTTTAAGAATATACAAAGATATTCTTGTATGACGCCCAATGTACCCGCAGCAGTTTCCATAGGTCTAAGTGCTGCAGCATTTGCTCACATTTTTGGTGTCTTTCTTGTTAAGGTGCTTCTGATGTGGACAGGATCTGAGAACACTCTTTAACCCGCTGCTGTTTACCGCTGTGTTCAGCAGCAACAGCAGTTAAAAAAACGGTCCTCATCATTCATCGTCCCGTCTTGTAAAGCAACATCCAACCCGTGGCTACGTAAACTGTTAGAGAGCATACAGTACCACAGCATGCTCAAGTATACAAAATAATGTAGATCTGTTTACTATTAGCTCTATAATATATATATTCATATCAATGTGGCTTTAATATTTCTTTCATTTACCCAAGGCTTAAGGGTGAATCAACTCAGACAAACCGTTTTTTTTACGAAATGGGTAAACTCTTTGCAGAAATAACTTTCTTCTGTTTTCTCCAATGCAGTTAAGGGACGTGAAGCTATCGAAGTATATAAGTGCAGTCTGTAGCTGAGGCCAGTCCCAATCCACAACACCATAATCCCAACACAGAGACAGGGTACAATCACAGTCCCTGGTCTTAAACTTTGTGAACCCGTACTAACATCCTAAAAAAGATAGGACAACTTCCTCCCAGGAAAAGAGGAGTAATACGAGAGGGCTGACTCACTTCCTTCGACAAAGGTTTGCTAAAATAAGCTGCCGAAAAAGTTCTTTAGAAATGTTAACTCAGAATCCTTCATAGATGTCAGAGTTGTGAGAAACCAGTTTGGCAACATTTACTAGTCAGACAATATGCTGTGATGAAATAACAGGAAGTTCAGGAGTTTAGTTTCTAACTGAAATGAAACAGCCTTATTAGTCAAAACAGTTGGTGGAAACAACGTCTTGTAAGGCAACTGGATGAAAAGTCATACAGGGAAACAAAGTAGGAACAGGGAACTTACAGTGTCTTTACCCACGCCCACCCTACATGCCCTCGTCCTACCCACTGCCCGTCTTTGCCCCTAACCCAACCCTCTGACCCCTGAACCTCGTCCTCGCCCCCCCCACCCACCCTGGCGTGCAGCTGTCGGGACATGTCGCAGCCTGGGACTGGCCTCTCCTCTCTGAATGTCTCTTTATCTGCCGGCTTTCAGCACTGGCTTCAAGTGCCAACAAGTCAATGGCTTCACCACTGTGCAAACTGCATTAGGTCATAACAAACTATAAGAAAAACAAAACTTGAAAAAGAAAAAAAGACAACTCGGAATATCACCTCAACGTTCCTCTTTGCTGGCATCTTCACACCCATTCCCCTTCTTTAGTTTTACAATCTCCTAAACCATCTGGATTGGATAGGTAAGATTTCTATGCGTATATATATTTATATAAGGTATAGATTTGTGCGTAGATTTACACAAAAATATACAAAAATGCATAAAGACATACTGAATTTGTTAAGGACTGCCCATACATTTATGTACGTTACCATACATACAGTACAAACATACATACTTTGTTTAGGTGTGTGTGTGTGTGTGTGTGTGTGTGTGTGTGTGTGTGTGTGTGTGTGTGTGTGTGTGTGTGTGTGTGTGTGTGTGTGTGTGTGTTAATTCCTTGGTTTGTAAAACTCCACATTCAGTAGAGTGAGATTTCCGACAAGATAATCCCAGATTCTCCGCTTGGCACCAGTCAGCTCGACTCGAGAGCCGAGACAGAAAGACAGAGTGGATGTTTGTTGTCTCATAAGTCTTTGTATGAAGCTGTCTGTCCTGCCGCGTCCTTCGCTCAGTTTCTCAGTCAGTTAAGTGCTCCTCGGTTCTTTGTGACAAGACAAGTTGATCGGAGCTCTTCCTCCCTCAATTTCAATCATCTCCTGAGGAGGATGCCATCCTTAACCCAGCTGTCAGTTATCTCTCCGGGTCAAAAAGCACCCTATCCCCTTTTTAACGTGCCACCTGTGACCTCTCCTGCCCCTCAGACGCTGCTCCGTGGCCAGGCTCGCAGACAACAAGCCATCGGAGGCTAAAACATTAATTCAAACTGGCTGCTCCCTCCAGTGCAGCCACTTGTTACCATGGTAACAACACCACCTTTAACCCGTCGAAGAAAGGGACAGTTCCCCCTCGTCTGATTCTCATGTGGACTCCAGCGTGTCCAGTTGAAACACATTGTGATTGGTCGGGGTGGTGAAAAAGAGCTGCTCGTGCGTCGGGGAGGTGGAGTGGTTGTCACAGGGACTGTTGAGGCCCAGCGTCCGCTCAAAGTCCAGCAGCTGGCCCATGAAGTTGAAGTTTGGGGAAATGTTCGACTTTTTCCGCTTCACAAAGTCGTACGCGTCGTTGAGCGACAGGTTGAGCTTCTGCATCAGGTAGGCCACCGTGACGGTCACCGAGCGGCTGATCCCCGCCAGACAGTGCACCAGGATGCCGCACTTCTTCGAGCGAGCCTCGTCTGCACAGGAAAGCATGAGAGAGGATTAGATTGATGTAAAAACCTACTGTATATTTTCATATATTTATTAGCCTTTAAATGATGACAATATTCTCTGTTCAATCTCTGCTGTGTCGATGTGAATAAAGATGTATTTCTCCTAACAAACAATGAGCCACATTTATAGAATCACATAAAAAAATAGTCAAACCTATTTTAAAAATCATCAATTAGCTTATTACTCTAAACAATGGGATCTTATATAAACACATAATGTTCTGCCCAATTTAGAGAAGTTTAGGTTTCACACGATATAATTGTCTGTATTTCTTTTTGAGGTGTGCTGTTGGCAGGGCTCAGTTGTAAAAACGTGACGGCCACGGTGGCCAACACACACAATTATTTTTGTTCAACATTATATTGAATTGTGGCTTATTTAGTCATGATTATACAATGTTATAGAAAAATATGCATGGATTAAAAGTTTCAGGCACCTGAAAGCAATTGACTGAGTTCCACTGTGTGTATAATATATATGTTCCTCAAAAAAACAACATATTTTCCTATTATTGAATTACAACTCAATAAGAATCGCTTGTACAATAGACATTTATAGAACAATATCTAACATTATATTCTCCCTTCAACACTCCACTGAAGGCAACAATCCAGAAAACTGTGCTGGCTCCAAGTTAGTACAAAATATCTAAAATGTTCCATTATTGTGATTTGAATCCACAATGACCTTTCTTTATGACAGCAGAAAGTCATGTTTCATTCTGCTTTCTAGCTCTCAGTCTGTAGAAAAACCTGAATAACGAAAACATCCTACATTATTAACAGGCTACATCCATCCACCTTCTATCAGTTTCAAACCCTTGCACTTACATCACTACAGGCCATTAGAGCCACAGAGTTAAGTGCTTCTTTCCTTTCTTCCTCTCCTTTATCTCTCTCTGCCTCTCCTCACTCTCCCTGCCTGACTCTCTTGTTGTGGGATTTGGGTCAGTTGGCTCACGAGCTCAGGCTGCCAAGCGGACGTCAAATTAAATGTATATGTGATGTGTGCTCACTTTCTACAACTATACAGGACTCAGAAGTCAAATAAGTAACCAGTGCTTAATCTGTGCTGAGCAGATCCTCACATTGTGCAGATGTGAGCAGCATTACATCCCTTTTCTTGCGCTATAAATGCATCATAACGCAATAATTGCCCATTGCCGGGAAACATCAAGTTCCTTCTTCTCTATACGTTATGCACAATCATTTCAGATATTTAAGGAATCTGCAGTCCACAGCAGTAAAGTGTAAGGTCACATCTGGAACTTCTTTCCTTTACCCATAATTACCCTGCTGGCACTTAAAGACCTGATTTAATCCCTGCCCATTACAGCCAGTCAGACAGCAACATTTAACATGTAACATCAGACCCATGACCCGAATCTGCCAAGACCTCTGGCTCTGGCATATGTCACACTTCCTCCCACCTACTGAAACATTAGCTTTAAAAGAAAAAGAGAAATGTCAGAGTCTGGACAATCTAAGACCAAAACAGAGACCCTGGTTCAGTGGTTCTCATAGACCCATCAGAGAGGGAATGTACTCACTCTCTGGGAATTAAGTAAGAGGGAATGACACTAACGATGGGAAATACTGGAAATGAGATGAGATAAGAGGCTAAAATTCTCCTGGCTTCAGTATGACTCAATGCTCCAAAAATCTATTTCCTCAAAACTATTGTGCTATTACAGTCAAATGTAATTAGGAATAGAAAAATACAGGCCAGCTGTGTTTAAGACAAGTTCCCATTTCTGTTTAACACAACAGGCAAAGAGAGTAATGGAGGATAAACTTAACAAACTAGTGCTGACAAGTTTTGCATACCAATTAACTGGCTTTAATTTCTTAATGGTATAGTTGTGCTGCTTTTCATACGTTTATGATAGTAAAGTAAATACTTTTAGTTTTGGACTGTTGGTTAGACAAAAAAAAACTATTTGAAGAAGAAGACTTGGGCCTTGCGAGATTGGGATGAACATTGTTATATATGTTCTGACTTGTATTATCTGATTCATCCATCTAGATAGAAAAATAACTGCCAATTGTTAGGATATTCATTTAAATCCAGCCAAAAACACCAGAGGTTTTGCTGGCTCCATATTCTCAAATGTATGATAGTTGTTTGGACAAAACAAGCAGAAGGAGCAAGCCTTTACTTACCGATGAATGAAATGGCCTCGGGGAAAAACTGAGAGAGGTTCTGGCTCCAGTGATCGGAGATGGGGATCTGTTTGTATTTGAAGTCGCCTTCATGTTCGAACATGTTGGGCAGGTTGGGCGTCACGTTGAGGATGTACTTGATGTTGTACTTGCTGAGCACATCCAGGTTGGTGGAGTCTTTGGCACAGCCCAGGAAGAGGTACGGCAGAATCTGGACGGGAAACGCTGTCTGGTTGCTGGGGAGCGGGCTGCCCTCTGACTCTGTGGCGCTGCCCGGCTCGCGGTCCGACTCTCCATCAGAGCAGTCGGAGCTGATGCGCAGACCCCCGAGGCCGAGGACTGAGGCTGGGGGGGAGCTGCTGGGACAGGAGCAGTCCAAATTGGTCTCGCAGTGCTCGGGGTACTCCGACTGGAACTTGTTGAAGCCCCCTGAATGACAAGAAAGAGACCAAATAATGTCAATATAAGGAAAAGGGCTAGAAAGTCACTTCACATGCTGGTATAAGAAATGTCTCTGTGCATGAGCGCAGGGAGGGTTGTGCAATACAACATCTACAAAATGGCAGCTGAATGTAAAGTCTGCATGATACGATATATTTAACATGTTCCTCCAAATGCTCTACGTTTTACTGTGATATCTTGTTTCAACAGTAATAAAGCTCCATCTTATCTTATCTTGTCTTACAAGAGGTGAATCATGAACATAAATTATGGTAATTTTACCTTTTAATTAAAAAGAAAATAATATGATTGCTACATTTATACATTATGACCATTAAGAAAACATTTTGACATGTTATTAATCACAGTGATGGTAACAAACATACATCAAAAAGAACAGTTAGTTCCAAAATGAAACAATCTATCATACCATATTTAACCACAGTAGATTCATATTCAGATTACATAATATGTTATATATAAACCAAGGGGTTTAATGAGATCAAAATTAAATCATTTACACATCTTTTTCATTGACTCACATTACATTATAAATATTCTAAAACATGACATGTATATCATGATATGGGTTTATAATTACCAATGCAAAAATATTTGCCATATCGTGTTTGTATGCGAGACTACATCAAATATGAATGAGACTAATAACAGAAAAATAACATGATATTTTCGCCGTCATGGCTTGGCATACATGCCGGACAGATGTGCTCCATTGAGAAAAGCTGCGCCCTGGGGAGGGTGAGCAGGACACCGAGCACTCACTACTCAGCTCAGTGGACTTTTTGTGAATGGCAGCTCGGATTGTGACTTTACTGGAACACTGCTTTGATCATTAATACATCAAATCTATCTGTAGATCCTAACGCTACCACATTTTATACACGTGACGTCCTCATCATGTCTGACTATCCTATGTTTTTATTTGGTGCTGCAGTTTTATTCACATTGCGTCGTCGTCTCCTCGTTTCCCCGTTCATTCATGAAAAAAAACGCCAGTCTTTTCATAAAGGAGCACAACATGGCGGGCCATTTTTGCAGCATTTAATTGAAAACATATTTGACATAGCTTTGTATATTTAGACACATACTCCCGTTATATATATTTCTATTGATTAGCCCAATTATTTCCAAATAATAGTTATAATAATATAATGGCTCTCGGAAATAAGAGTGTTTTGTCAAAGTTAATTATGACTTCGCACTGCAGTTAGTGAAGCTGATGTGTTTCACATTGCAGCCTATCTATTATTATACTGTGATAAAATCATAATCTGTGGATAATATGCTCAGATAAATAACTCTTCCTGCATCATTATTAAAAATGAACGAGACACGAACTTTAGTCGGTCAGACAGATGATAACATCTGGATTCATTTGAAGTGTCGAAACACTGCGACACTTCAAGCTATAGGCTACCTATACGCTATTTAAAATCTACAATTACGTTATATTTAATACGGGATATGATAACATTTTCTAAAATAGGTTAAGATTGATCTGATCCGGGATACTTTGTGTCGCCTAATCGGATACATGTGTCATGTTTTAAACTGTTTCTGGAAATACGTATCTGAAGCAAAACTATCACGTCTGATTCAAGTCCAGATTCATATATGTGTGTTATATTCTAGCACTAATAGTTATCTATTTGGTGAGATAAGCTGCTGAGGCTTTCCAGTAATTAGGGGAATCTCAGTTAATTACATCGGAGTGAAATTATTGTAGTCATTGTGAGTTTTGTTTGGATCAAAGGGACACGAACTCAAGTTTAAAGCCATCCAATCTTACCCTCCAGGTAGAAAGCCTTGCATCCGTCGTCCCGCAGTTTCTGCAGCAGCAGCCCCAGCACGGAGCTTCCCAGCCCGGACTCCTGCCGCTCCGGGGTCGCCTCGTCGTACAGAACCACCACGTCCGTCTTGCACCGCTTCACAAATTTCTCCTTGTCCTCGTTGTTGGGGATGATGGAGCGGATGGGGAGGTTGCCCTTCTTCAGCCTCCGCAGCATGAGGCCCGGGATGGCCAGGTTGATGGCCGACTCGATGTGCGAGGACTCGTACAGCTCATGGGGTCTGCAGTCCAGCAGCAGCAGGGAGCTGGCCCCGGACTCCAGCTCCTCCTGCAGCCACTCCACGCTCTTACTCGACATCATCATCACAGTCACGATCACAGAGCCTCTGCACAGATGATTAATTCTCATCAGGGAAACGTTAATCCGCCTGTCCCCTGGTGTGACATGGAGAACAACGCAACAGAAGAGAGGGAAACAAGACAAATCACGCTGCTAAACTTCCCTTCCCGCGGCCACCACCAAGACCACCGCCGCTGCGCACACACACGCAGCCAGCACACACTTCCACACACACATCCAACACGCACGCAGCGATGCCCCTCTGGTTGGAGCAGGAAACTTGAACATGCAGGTTTTCTTTCCCTCCTTGCTTCAGTCCGATAGAAGTGGGGGTTTCATTCCGACATCCATTTGGCGACCCAACTCCAACTTCGAGGGCGTCCGCAGACCCTCAAAAAACGTCCCAAAGATGCTTAGTTATTGTCTGAGGGTGTGAGTCTCAGACGAGATGCTGTGTCTAAAGCCCATGATTATTGTTATTATTTGACATGCTGGCCCGTGGAGCGCCTCTGGTTAATCATTTCTACTGGATGCGTTAAAGAGGCTCTGCAGGGTGTCACTGAGCTGAGGGAGGAGCGCAGAGATTTAAAGGTGCAGAGCTGCTGAACATTCACACAAGCTCACAATGTTATCACGACATTCATATCCATTCATTGATAGTTCATACAACAAGGCACTAGACATACTCTAACATGTCCCCTCCAGTAATAAGCTCAAAATGTCTCCCATATGTGTTGAAAAAGAGTATAGTGTTGTTTTTTTTACCCCAGAAGAAGCTGTTTGACAGCTGTGTGCATGTGAAACCAATGTAAAAATACTGCATGCCTATACTGTTTCCCTTCTCATTATTTTTAATGTAATGTTAATATGAAAATACAAATACAGTTTGGTAAACCTTGGCCCCAATATTACAAGGCGTTTACTTCTGTTTGTATTGTTATTGTTGTAATAAACCTTAATATCTGCCATTACATGTTCAATAAAAGCAAAAGATAAAGAAAAGGGAAAACTCCAGTAATATGATACAGTACACTATTGTATTTTATTTTTCTTAAAAAATATGATTAAATAAATAAAAAGTAAACCAACGTGTTGACAATGACAGAAAATTAGTTTAACGTTGTTATTTTATTTTTTCAGGGGTGTTCACTCTATAAGGCTTTGCTAAATATGGGCTAAACTTATTCACATTTGGGACAATAAGATTGTATATTTGGCTGTAAAAGTCTGATATTGTAAATATGTATTACAGAAAAAAACATTTTATTTTGTACTGTTGGCCATAAATAAAGAAATCCAACTGGTTCCTGAGCAGTATGCTTTCTCTAAAAGGATCTTATGACCATCTTGTTCATTTATTAAAGTGAATGCATGCCACACAAAAGGGTTTTAATGACCTGGGGGACAAATGTGTATGGCCTCATGCACTAGAAGGGACTCTTAACTCATTTGCCACTGATCTCCACACATGGGACACTCACAACATTTATACATTCATCCATAATTCATTCACACCTCCACCTAACAATCAATTACACAAATGTGCCTCTGGCCTCAAACTAAACAGCACTTATTGAGTGACAACATCGTAGTCTGTCTCATTTCTGAGAGCAATATGTCTTCTCTCTTTGAGAAAAAAACTAGTTCAATGAAGATAGGAAACATTTGAACAACTTGTTGAACTATCTTGAAGGAGTCTAATTAATTATTGAAATACCTTGAGAATTTCACATTTTTGTAACAGCTCTATAGTGTATACCTGCTGCTCTGGGTCATCACCATGACTTTCACCATGAATGACCTAATAAGGCATCAGCAGGTTTTGACAGAGGCAGAGGGGAAAAGAGGAGCGTTTGATTTCCTCACAGCTGCAAAGAGGAGGGGTGGGGGATGCACCAGCTGCAGACAATGGCTCTTTATCCCCCCCTTAGTGTCTCTCTCTCTCTCTCTCTCTCCTCTCTCTCCTCTCTCTCTCTCTCTCTCTCTCTCCTCTCTCTCTCTCTCTCTCTCTCCTCTCTCTCTCTCTCTCTCTTCTCTCTCTCTCTCTCTCTCTCTCTCTATTCTCTCTCTCTCTCTCTCTCTCACACATGCGCACGCTTGCGCGCGCACACACACACACACACACACACACACACACACACACACACACACACTTTAGGGCTCTTGTGTTTCCACTCCCTTCATGGACAACAACAGGCTCTCTGTGTATCCACTCTGTGTGTGTTTGTGTTTGTTTACAAACTTCTCTTCGATAGTAAACAAAAACTATCCTCACTTATTTTTAACACCCAAATAACTGAAGACTAAAACTTTACTTGTGATGAAGCTCTAACGGAGTCGACATCAGGTCTTGAAAGCACCTGTAGACAAGGCCTTGGTGGCAATCTGGGCAATTAGGGCCAGTTGAAATGCTGATTTTGAGTTAAACAATGCCCTTTTTTAGTAGTAGCATTAGCTCGTTATTCTGCAGCATTTCAGTCATTTTAAATGGTATGAGCTAATCAAATGGCTATTATCAGTGGTTATCATTAACAATGTAAATCTTCGGATAGGGCAGAAAAGGCCAAATTACACCTATCCCCATGTTATGGTTTTTAGTTTTAAACATGTGGTTATTGAGTCATTAGCAGGGGCGGATCTACGGGGGGCAGCTGCCCCCCCCCACTAAAGAGCTTTGCCCCCCCAGCTGCCCCCCTAACTTTTTGGTTCTTAAAACTGTTATTAGTAAATCGAAAGACCACTATGTCCACAACAACCTTCTCAAATCATTATAACAAGCAATTAATTTACCTATTTTAATAATGAGTAACCTAAACCCCTTAAAACATTTGGTACACACAGACTCCGGGTGACACAGCTGCAGAGAGAGAGAGCAGCGACTGAGCTGTCCTCAGCATCTGGAGGTAAAGACCGTTACGTAGCCTACCCGTCGGACCATTTTGTCCTTGTATTGTAAGCTTGTATTATTTTAAGTAAAGACACAAAGAGTTTAATACACACTATTCAAAACGGCGTGTTTGTATTGTGTTTAACGGACGGTCTCCTTTTCAGGCCGTTTCGTTAGCCAACAACACATTACACATTGACTGTGCTAGCTAGCTAGGTGATCGATCATTTTAATTTAGTTAGCTAAGCAGTTTAAAAGATACGTAGGTTACCCTTACATGTCACAGCAATGAATTAACAAATTAAAACAAGTTACATCGCAAATGTTTACCGCATAGACTGTAAATAGAGGTGTACCGTCAAACTAGTAAATAGTCTGAACACAAATGATTTAATGATTTTTACTTTTCTGATTTAATTTAAGTTTTTTGAATTTCTTAAAGGCCAGACAGTGTAATGTATTACGAGGATTTTAACCAGTGCTTCACATCATGACTTTTGCAGGCCTGGAGTTGTTGAAAAATGAAAAGAAAAGGGAATATCACTTATTTTTTTAACACAAAAAGTCAGAGAACTGAAAATGAGGACAAGAGAGAGGGAAATGAAAAAGGAGAGGAGAGTACAGTGGAGAGGCCAGGAGGGTCAGAACATGAGAAGGCCACAGAAGGAGATGAAGATATGGATCGAGAGGAAGTGGATGTGAGAAATGAAGAAGAGGGTTCAGACTCAGAAAGAGGGACAGAGGCAGGAAGTGAGAAGGAGGCTGAGGCAGATGGCAGGGAGGCAGTTACCACTCTAGCTGGACCACATGGTATGTTTTTATTCCCCATCCATTACAGTAGCATAGCAAGGCATGTCCCTGACATACAACATAATGTAAAATAACATGTTCATTCCTACTTTCTGTTGTATGTGTTATATAGGATTACTTGCGTAAAGATTTACAAATGCATCTTATTATATTAGTGATTATGATCAAACCAAATATATAAAACAAATGCTATGATAGAGAACAACTTTACGCCTGCATTAGATAATTATATTGACCAATTCTATATCTTTCTTTTAGATATATCAAAATGCAAAGGTGATGCAGCTGTGCAGCCCAATCTTAAGACATTTCCCAAAACACTACATGGAGCAGCAAAGCGAAGTTTTCACAAGGAGTGGTACAGTTCTTGGCCATGGCTTGAGTATTCCCTCTCTCAAGATGCAGCATACTGTTTTGCATGCAGACATTTTGTTTCTGCAAAAGCAAGTGTTTTCACAGCAGAACATGGCTATTCAAACTGGAAGAAGGCCACTTCCAAAGATAGTGGGTTCAGTGTACATGCCAGATCAGACACACATGTAAATGCCATGATTGCATGGACAGAATACAAAAGCATGGCCGGGAGAAATACAACTATTCTTGGAATGATGGGAGATGAAAATCAAAAACAAGTAACCGAAAATCAAAAATACATAAAAACTTTGGCCGAGATTTTACTTTTGACAGCTACTCAAAACATTTCCCAACGTGGCCATGATGAGTCTGAAACTTCCAAAAACAAGGGAAATTTCCTTGAGATTTTAGATGTTGTAAGTAAACACGATCCCTTAGTTAAAAGACGATTGTCACAGGGTCCCAGGAATGCAAAGTACACCAGCAAAGGCACTCAAAACGAAATGTTAGAATGCTTAGCTGAAATTGTAAGAGAGGATATTATAAAAGAGGTTAAAGAAAGTGAACACTTTTCTATTTTAGCAGATGAGACTAAAGATATGAAAAAAATTGAGCAGCTGTCTCTGGTCGTACGCTATTATTATAATGGTGTGGTTCAGGAGAGCTTCCTTGAGTACCAACAAGCAGAGCACTTGGATGCAGCCAGTTTGACAAAGAAAATCATTTCCTGTCTTGAGAAGTATGGGCTGGAATACAAAGAGAACCTGGTGGGCCAAGGCTATGATGGGGCTGCAGTCATGAGTGGCAGGTGCTCTGGTGTGCAAACAAGGGTTAAGGAAGTGGCCAAATATGCATTTTATGTTCACTGCAACGCACATTGTTTGAATCTTGTCATTGTTGACTGTGTGAAGAGTGTCCCAGAAGCTGCATATTTTTTCATGTTGCTGGAAAGACTGTATACATTCATGTCAGGCTCATATGTTCACAATAAGTGGATGGATGTCCAGAAAGAAATGTTCACTGGGGCCCCACGGGAACTACCAAGACTTAGTGACACTAGATGGGCCTGTCGCTATGCTGCATGTAGAAACCTCATGGACAGGCTGACTGCAGTCATAAGAGTGCTGGATGACATTTCAGATGAGGCCAATCCACAGAGAGCTGTAGACGCAAGAGGGCTACGTTCTCAAATTGACCTTAATTTCATAGGTCTCCTAGCTGTCTTCAGAAAAGTGCTAGGTGAAGCAAAGTTTTTATCTGAGATGCTCCAGTCACCTAATGTTGACCTTACTAAAGCAGCTGACCTTACTGAAACCCTCAGACAGACCTTTGAAGAATATCGCAAAGAAGAGAGCTTTAATGAGCTGTGGAATACAGTCATTAAAACATGCAATGACTGCAACATTTCTATCATTGCCAAATCAAAAAGAACCAGACACACATTTAGCAGACTACATGATAGTCTTGTAACATCTACAGTGGGACAGA